TATTGATATTGAGGATCACTGAATATTTGTATCTTGTACAGCTGTCCTATATTCATTATTGGCTTTGGCTGTTGAGCTAGTTCAAGAGGAAATAAAGTTTATTTTTAGTCATGTGAATGACAGAGATTCAGTTGTGACTTCAATGTATAGTTTTATTTACTATAGTTATGTAGAGGCTCTTTTCTGACTTCAGTATCGCACATAAGATATATCTTCATTTTCAAAGTAGTCCAGTAGTTAATTCAATTCTTCAACTAAAACATATATTTTATATATTAGTATTTAGTACCTAAATAGATAAAGTGCACTCAAGATAGGTAACTTTAAAATCGTATTATATTTTATAGTCCGCTGGAAAACTATGCATACACACCCAACAACTAAAACCATAACAATCCTGACTAGACCGTGACTGGTGTTAATGATTATTGCTACATTTAATAAATTAATTTGTAACTCTATAGATCATATTAATATGTAGATACTTAAACTACTTGTGTGCCTACATTGAAAATCTGTGTAATATCCTTTTTATTATTTTTACAATTTATATATCTATAAAGATAAGATTATTTTACATGGTTATTAGTTATTACTTATTTGTTTGCAACTTTAAATATTTACTACCCACTAAATATACTGATTCCTCTATATTTTTTTAAAATTATTTAAAAAAAAATTGAGTAGTTCCTCTGCTGTACAGTGAGTTTTGAGTTAACCTTGTCATTGAAGGTAGGTACCATATGCTATTTTATTATACTAGATAGTAGAAACTTCTACAGCGAATAGATATGTTACAATATATTTTATAATTTGAATTCAATAATAAATACCTAGTTGCGGTACCTACATTTTATAATTCAAATAATATTTAGGGCCTCAAAATCACCTTGGTAATGCTTAAACATCTAATTAAATCATACTAGGTACTGTTAATAAGTATAATAAGTATAATTATAATGAATAATATATTATACCTTCATGGTGATTCACCAAGCATGCTCATCCCCATTTTTTTTTTTAATAATGAATTAAAATTAAAAATTTTTGAATTTTTAAGTATACTGAATGACCTTATTTTCAAGTAGGTAGGTACCTATTTAGATTTTATATCATACTCAATAAGTAGTGTGGTGATAACCAGGTGGGTACCAACTTCTTTTTTTCCAATGATAATAAAATGTAATAACTTAGTTATTACAATATTAATGGTAGGTACTTACTATACTAATACTGTATAATATGTTGGGTAGGTATTTAATATAAGTAGGTATATTTAATATTAGGTACTCTATATAACTATAGGTACCTCATGTATTATGCTACATTATACATTTGAGTAAACGAATAATATAAATGATTATATTTACATGTATATACATATGAATATATGAAGTATATTAATATTTTACAAATCTTTAATATCAATAATTCAATAAATTATAATTGTTTGAATAACAAATTTGATATTTTGACAAAGATAAATTATATTATCAGATTACAATTTACAATAATAAAACCTGCTGTTTAGTATTCTGAAATAAAAATTTCATATTTCTTTTTTTTAAACCAAATTCATTAATAACTTATCAATAAATTTAGTTGTTAATACATTTGTCATGAATGTCAAACCTCTCTACACTCATTGTTGATATTAGCATGTCTGAATTCTGCACAAACAGCCTTTTTACAGGGCAAACTGACGCCAATTTTTCCGTGAGCCGAGGTAGGTTAGGTTATAACTGAGATATACTCACACCGAGATAAACGTATATTACATAATGTACAGGATTTGCACACAAATAAAAACTGCACTCCGGCGAAGCCTGGATATTCAGCTAGGTGACTATTTTGTAAAACCAATATATTAGTACCTAGTTACCTGTGACAGTGTGCAACTTAAATATCGGGCAAAGAAGTGAAATGCATTCCCGTGCTACATTGAGAAATAATTAAATCTAGTGTATTGGTTATTCCAATATTCTGAAGTTGTTTCCTTTATAATTTAGTATTTTATTACATTTTCGTATAATTTATTCTGGTACAGTGGTACCTATATCTGGTATAGTGGTATGGTACTATCACAGTCGTCTACAACATAGGCATGCACCAGGATGTAGAGAATTGAGAAGACCTACCTACCTAAATCATCTCTGCATCGTGGTGTGCAGTCTTCACCCGAGTAGGTACCAAATTGTAATGCAGACTTGCACAGTCCGCGCATAACCGTGCTCAATGCATCGTTCAGACACAGTGCGGGGACAAAAATTATTTGAAGAAAGGTAGGTATAAGTTCAAAAGACATGAGACTGTGTAAAATGCTACAGTCGTGAAAATTAAAGCTTCGAGGCCTGGGGAGCTGCTTAATAGCTGATTGAGAATAGGTTATCTGGCTCATTTTCCGATAGTTTATTTAAAAATTATGGTTTTTAGTGTTATTTTTGAAACATAGGTCAGTAGATCACTCTAATACATGATAATTTCATGCTAATTATTGGTGTGGAAAAAATGCGAAACTAATTTAGAAGAAGCTTTAAAAGCAACAACTTAAATGTGTGGAAATTGAATAATTTCCTAGATTAAAAAGTATATTTTATCATAATTTTTTTTATCATTTCTCACATAAAATAGTACCTATTTGACAACAGTTATTTGAAGGAGGAGCCGAAAACTCCCGAATTCCAGGCTGCAAAATCCACTACTGTAATATTGTTATTTGTTACCATCAAATATCGATTATTTTTTGAAATGCATATCTATCTTTTGAGCCAAGATTGTAATTATACGTGCCTCATTAGTTATTAGGTACCTATCAATATCTGTAATGATAATATTTTAAATGTATTTTGCATTTATGCTACAAATATGTAGGTAGTAGGTACCATGTGTTATAAAATGTGTAAATTAGTTAATTGGTACCTATCAAGAAATTATGGATACTTCTAAAATCTAGGAACTTATGAATAATAATTCAATTGGCACTATTGTTTCTAAAATTAGGACAAATTGTAATTGGTTTTTTCTATTGTATGTATACAATTACAATTGCTGATGCTCTAAAATTAATTTATCATCCTTTAGTACCTACCTACCTAATATACTATATTATATTTATGATATTCATTTTTATAATTTATCACTCAAAATATGTACCTATTAATATTCATTCTTATTTTAAATACCTATGCACTTGATAATATTGTAACTTTTATTATAAAATTGTGTTTTCTTATTATGAACTTCTTCTCACATCACAGTTAAAAGAGTTTTGTTTTTATTGGGCATTGGTGAATAGATAAATAAGAACTTATTCAAATTATGAACTAAATTACTATATTTTAAGAATTTGTTATAACTTTATATAGGTATTTTGTAGAATGATAAAATGATGTAGGTATTGAACTTTTAGCAGGTAAGTTATATTCTAAACATAGTTCAGCATAGTATACCATATAGTTAGTAGGTAATCAAAGTTACCATAAACAGAATTAGTTTTTTAATAAAAAAAACTTAAATTAAGACTATTAAAAATAATATCTATTCAAATTCTAAGTTTTTTTTAAATTGTTTTTTAAGATCTTAAAATGTAATGCATAAATAGTAATTCATATTATTTTATTCTTATCAATCATAAATTCATAATTCTTAATAATTCTCAAGTATGAACATATAAGACATAAGCAACTGAAGTTCAAATTTTGAAGACATTAGAAATTCACTCAATTTCTTATGAAAAAATGTTCCTATTTTGTTTTAATTCATAAACAAATAACTAGATACTTTAAATGTGCACTAAATGTTAATTTTATCATTTTCTATGCTTGTCAAAATGTTCAAAATATTTAGAATATTTTATCAGTTGTTGGCTCAAAAAGCATAATAATTTAATATAAGATTTCTCACACAGTTACAATAGCACTTTAAAAATACTAAAAATTTAATGGCACAATTTTTTTCATAAGCATATCTTAAAGTTCAAATCTTGACAAAATTTATGAAATTGAAAATTCGCAAATTATTTTGTAGTTTAAAATTTATAAGACTGATGATCAATTTATTTGTATAACTAAGGAATGAAATACTGAAACCAAAAACTCTAAAATAAATGTATAAGCACAGTTTGTTTTTTTTTAAAGACATTCTAAGTTAAAATTTGGACAAAATTAAATAATTAAACACAGAATAAAGATTTTGGTTTTCTTGTAGTTAAAAAATATTATTTCTGGGTATTTGAAACTTTTGAATTAAATTATTTTATACACATAATGACATTTTCAAATGCAACTTTTTGGGAAAAACAAACTTAACCAAATGTGTTACAAATACCTAATAGTAAAAAAATTACATTATTACAAATATATCATAAATTAATATACTTAGTTAGAAAGGCTGGAAGGTCTTTTTCACTCAGAATTGTTTTACCTGTTCAATGATTTTACACCATTGAATTCAAATTTAACACATCCATTACAGTGGCATTACTCTAGGCATCTTATGTACAGCCGAGTGTTATCCACTTGCCCCTTTTTATACCTTGAGTTAAATTTTTAACTAATTAATTTACACTTTCACTAATGAAATAAATCCAATCTTAAACCTATAGAATTGTTCAGCTATATAAACTTTAATAAAATAATTTTGAGTGACTTAAAAATAGTCATAATAATATTGATTGAAATGCTCTTGTGTATATCAATGTACACGTAAGTTTTTGTGAGAAAGATACAATTAACCATATCACAGCTGTAATCAGAATATTTATATGATTTAGTTTATTACTTTAACAAAATTAAATAACTTAGGTTATTTGTCTAAAATAAATATAATTTTTAATGATGCAATATTTTGCCATGTGGGATACCAGCTGAATCAAAAATTAATTTTAAAGTGTATGATGAAAAGAAATTCCTAAATACCAGATTAAATATGTTATGCATTTAGGTATACTTATATTTCAAACTTGTATCTGGAAATGACAATATGAATAAATAGGTTGAATGTAAGATCAAGGATATTATCTAATTTATGAATCGTCATTAAGTGCTGTGACTTTCAACTAATTAATGTTACAAAAATATAAAAATATATGTAAACACATTGTATGTTGGAAATTTGTCATGCTATCTTATTTATTAGTTATTATGTAACTTGATTACTATGAATACATTTTAAATTAACTGTAAAATCTATCCAAGTAATTGTGTTGATGGTTCATGGTCTAATTCTTCTGTATCCTCAAGCGTGACTTTAGGAGAATCTGACAATGGTATTTTTTTAGTTTGTTCATTTGTATTCCAAACACCGTCGCCTGAGAAATGATAATCCTTTTCTAAGTTATACAGTACGAGTGGCAATAAATATTCAGATTTGATAGATCCAGACACATCTCGTAGATAGGAGACATTCTTCATGTTTTGAGTGGACACCAATGTATCTTTAATTTTATCCCTAAAAATCCAACAAATATATTTTAAAAACAATAATATACTTTTTCAAACAGTTATAATTACACTGGATACAATAAAATCTGTGAGCAATGACATAACTGGTCCTTGGTGAAATGATTAATTTTAAGAAACTCATACGTTTTTCGTATTGTTAACAAAGAAATATACTGCCAATAAGGATGACGTTCTAATAATGTACGTAACTTTTTTTTGTCTTCTCCCAATTCTTTTGTCAAATATATCATTATATCATTGGTTTTCCCTTTATCATTACCGTTGCAATTAAATCTGTAAAACATAACGAAATAAATTCAACTATATATTATCAAATATTATAATTCTAGAAAATTATATAAAAAATAAAGATAAATGTAATAACCTGTTAAATGAAAAATTGTTCGTAACCAATAAATTTAATGAGACACAGTTTTTACTTTTTAAGTATGTCAAACGTGTATTTACTTTTGTATAGTAGTAAATGAGTCTTGCAACTTGTGGATTGTTAATAAATGATGCCAGCTCTGGTGTTTCTTTTAATTTACATAATCTTTCATAAATAGTGTTACTTCCTAATGTATAGATTTCTGGTGCTTTAGCCAATGAAGACTCTGGAATTCCAAAATCCTGTAAGAAAAAAATATTATAATAGTTATAATTAGGGCCCGAAAGTTCATGCATTTGCATGTTTTTACTGAATGGACTAAAAAATTGCTAGATCAGCTACAAGTTTGAATTATACTTTTACAAATCCAAATATAACATTTTATTTTGCATATAATTGCATATTTTGTTTTTTTTTTATGTATTAGCATATTTTACAATTTTTTTGTTATTAACTGCATATTTGAGTCAAATATTATGTAATTGACAAAATAAATTACATCTAAAAGACCTATTATAACCCTACGACCGACCCTAACGGCTGATGGACAATATGTTTATTTTAAGAAAAGTTTTAATATTTTTCATTTAGATAACGATACTTTAGTTAAATTTGAACAAGTTATTGAAAAGAATCTGGGCTTTAAAACACTAGGTATCCAAAATTTCAAAAATTATGTTGGGAGAAGAAATGACAATGGATAATTTACCTGAAGATTTTTCTTGTGATAGTTTACTATATTTTAAATACGCACCAATTTCTTCGGTTAATGTGGAGCAGAGCTTTTCGGTGTACAAAAATATGTTGGCAGATAACAAATTCAAATTTGAGAATTTATCAAAATCGTTTGTGTATTGTAATGTTTAAAAATGTTATTAATTAATAAAATAATGTTCTTAATTACTAGTCAAAGAAATTGAAATATAAATTGTGAGTAGTATCTCATAAATTCATAACTAATAATTTTTTTCCTCATATTTATAAGTTAAAAAAAAAAAAATAAGGGCATATTAAAGCGCATACATCAGGATTTTTAAGTGCATGAGTGCACACATATTTCGTTAGTTTTTAGTGCATAAACTTCCAGGTCCTAGTCATAATACTTTATCTACTTTGTAACAAAATCATTGTATATTAAAAGAGAACATGGTGATCTTAAATTCATGACTAAAAAAAATGTGTATGCTATGATTTGTTTTAATACTATTTTTATTTTCTAAATGTTATGTTGGTTTCCAGGCTTTTAAAGAATACATTATTTATTAAACCAAACAATAAATTATTAATTTATTTTTAAATTCTTAGACAGCATAGCTTAATATTTCTTTAGACTATTCTCATCACAACATACTAATATATTAGTGCATTTACATGTCATGTAAATTATTCATTTAATATTGTAAACATGATACAATACTTAAGAGGAAGTTAGCTGTATGCGTCTTACTAACGCATACTATACCAAAATGTACGTCCAGCGGTTAAAATTTTCTGTGGTTTGCATTTCAGTGAATTGAAATAATATCAAACTTAAATATTCAAACAAGTATACTCTCAATAGTTTTTTTACAATATTTTAAATTTTAAGTAAATTATAAGCATTTTTAAATTTTACACTTCATAACTAGGGCTCAGATTTTAAATTTTCTTTCAAAAAAATGTATTTATGACATTTATGATTGGCATCTATAAAAAAAACTATATTTTTTTTCTTGTAATGTTATTAGAAATAGGTTTAAAAATTATAAAAATAAATAAATAATGCTCTAAAAAAGGTTCAAATGCACTTAAAAGTCAAAAACATCAAAGAATAAAAACAAAGTTTGTTGTTAGCAATGTATACTTGGTACACATTTTGGATCTTGAAAAGCATATTGCCAAACATTTAAAAAAAAAAATGCAATTTCATTGAAATTCGAGCTTTGTTCATATTTCATTGATAAATTAAAATATTTGTTAAGATCTGACAAATGAACACTGATAATGCTAGTAATAAGTTTGATGATAAGTCAATTCACTTAAATATTTAAGCTAACCACACAGAATTGGAATTTATATGAACGTATATTTTAGTATGCCAAGCGTATGATGCCAAAAACACATGTAGATATGCCATTCTCTTTACTTAAGTACTAAATCACTGTACCAGAATACATAAATTTCAAGTACCTCAAAATGTTTTTTAATCTGTCTTATTGTTTTCCATGGAGTAAGAATTATTTTTGGATGCTTACTTAAAATGAATTTTACATCCATACCACAAAGATTTTTAAAATTATTTAAAATTGCTTGTGTGTTATCAGGATCACTGTGTATTAAATAAGAATGTCTTCTGATCTGTTAAAAATGAAAACATTTATTATGAAATTTTAAGTAGTAAAAAAAATTAAATCTCTACCTTTTCTTCAGTAAAATTAAGTTCTTTAAGTAAAATATCAATACTTCTATCCATAAGTCTGTAACTTTTATTATATAGTCTATGGTAAATGGTTTGTGCATATTTTATATTTTCCACATCCATTTTAATTTTCCATCCAACATATAATTTGAATATATTTTTCTGAACTTGGTTCCACGAAAGAGACTCATCACAATTTTTTGGATATAATTCAATTGGAAATTGAATATACGACAATATATGATGTCCAACATCAATATGTTTCTGGATGAAGTTTTCATTTTTTAATGATTGAATGGACTTTTTTGATATAAATTTAAACCTATAACAAAAAAAAAAATTATATTTCTTAATATACATATTGTATTTAATGCTGAACCAGTAACTAATCATTTTTCTTTCAAGTAATAAATTAGTGAAGTTGTACAATTTTTATTAATCTCTTAAGACATTATATACATAAATTATTTATGAAGTAAGATGAAATAGGAATAGGGTAAACATAATTTTACAACGTAAAAATGTAGCCATCAACATTTTAAAAATGTGTGATAAATTTACAAAACAAATTATCAAAAATAAATAACTATGTCTATTGTGTACAATTAAAAGTGCATAAACATGGTAAAGTACCTTAATATTGCTTTGGAATCAATTTTATTTTTAACAAAACCTCCTTCTTCTAAAAGCATAGCATAATTTTTAATTGTGATTGAATGAAGTGTTAATATTTGAATTTTTTTGAGAATATCATCTTTGGAAAACCCGAAACTCTAAAACAAGTTACACAAAGTAGTGAATCATCATGACAAAATATTTACTGAATTTGGGATATTGAAAGTAATAATGAGTGGATAAATAAATATTCACAAAAATAATACAATTAAAACTTATCTATGAATATTCAATTTTATAAAAAATTGTGAAGTACCTTACACATTTTTAATCAAAAACAAATTTATTTACTTCTTAAATCAATTTTTTATGAATTATTGTATTATTTACTTTATATAATAGTATGACCAATGCCAAATCTATATGGCTAACTAATTACTGAATATATTATATAAGTAAAAATCTCTTAAAAAAATAATTCAAATATATTATGTTTTCTATTAATAAATATACCATCAATAATGAAAAGTTATCCGAGAGCGTAGAATATGTATCATTGTAAAACGATGGATACTTTTTAAAAATTCTCTGAACTTCATTTTCAGGTAAACCTAAAAATTAAAACAATATTCATAGTTAATATCTTAATCAGTAAATTATATTTAAAAATAAACCAATAACACACATTTTTTTTAAATACCTACCACTTAATTGGTTTTTTACAATATTTTAATTTTAAGTGATTTTAATTTTTAAGAGCATTTTCAAATATTAAAAATTGTTCATGCTCATAACTAACTTAAAAATTAAACACAAATAACACACAATACAAAATTGGAACTGTTGGACAAACATTTTTGTACATTATCCCTTAGTTTGACAAAGATAACATACTAATTGTTCTCACCCAGGAGTCGGCAATAAGTTCTTAAAGGGTGTCTGAATGATGTGAAAAATAATATTTAGGCCCAAAAAACATATTTTTTTTTCCTTAGTAAGTTATTTTTGGGTCTCCACATAGAAAAATAAAGAAAAAAATGAGTATTTAAGTAAAATGTTTTGATGGTCCATTAAGTACAAAACCACAGTTAGCATCCAGAACGCGGGCTGCCTATTGCCAACTCCTGTTTTAACCCGAAGACAACAAGTTTACACTGTTACTGTAAATATGTTATAAAATAAATACCTAAATTTTGTTGAAAAAATGTTACTATATCATTTTTTATATTAAACCTTGCACAATAACAACATGTTTGATAAGTATTTTGCATAAAACAGATTTTGCTCAAATTAAATTTCATAACTTTGTGGAGCATTGTTAAATATTCTTGAAAGATCCAACTTGAATAATTAACTTGCAACTGTAAATAAACAGACAATAATACAATTTATAATACATAACTGTTTAATTGAATGTTATAGATAGTTAAATAGTTGAATATTAAATAATGTTAATACCTATAATTTCATAATTTTATTTATTTAAAATTTATAGGTACCTCCTTATTATTATTTTAATAATCTTTTCCATAAAACTTTTATACTTTTTTTGGGTTGCATAATTATTTTTAAAGGATCTTACACTAAATAAATTGTATTTGGTAGGTAACGTTATTTCCAGTTGTTAATATGTATGATTTGCATATGCTCTCATAGAACATAATATTTTATCATTTTTAACACACAATATTGAATAATGATAAGTAGAAGCAGAAATAACATTATCTTAAAATAGCCAAAATAAGATGCTAATATTCTCTTAAAAAGTTGAAAATATTCTTCCAAAATTCTTCAAAAATCTTAGTAAAATTTGCCTCTTTTTTGAAAACAGGAAAATTACATACATGGGTTTCAATTTTGGATTATCATGAAAATCAAATTACAAGTCAGTCAAGTAAAATCTAAAATAAAATAAATAATTTTTTTTTTGCTTATTATAAATGTATTTTGTTATGTTGTTTTAATTTTATTTGAAGTTTACGTAAAAATATAGAACCATAAAAAAAGTTTCATGTAATCAACTGGTTAATAGAATCAGAACAACCTGCACCAATGTGATCACATTATTAAGTGTAGTTTTAAAATCTAGTAGATAAAAATATAAATGTTATTGAACAACAAACATTAATAGGTACAGTGAATCCTGTACCTAAAGGACAGTCACAGGACCACAAAAGTGTCCACTATAGACAGGTGTTCGTTATCAAGATATCTAAGAGAAATATTACTGTCTGTGTCTGTGATAGAAAGGATCAACAACTATAGACAGGTTGAAATACAATAGAACATGTATCTTTTGGCCAGGAATTTATAATAATATCTGTCGAAAGAGATGTCCGTAAATTAGATTTTACTGTAATTGATTAGCCTCAGATTTTGATTTTATTAGAAATTTAAATAATTCAAAAAAACTTCTTCGAAGAGCAATATAGATTTTTGACAATTTTTTGATCCTTTGACGTATTTAGTTTTAAATCAATAAAATATATATTAAACAGCTTGAACAACGAACTACCCGCTCTATAATCGAACATATATACTTACAGCAGTGCATTCCAATAATTATACTTGATGTGGAATTATAAAATACTGCTCAAAATGTTAAGCTTTGAGCTTAGAATATAAAATTCACCATTACCGTAATTTTTACACTTATTAAAATTTCAAATCATACGCTATAGATAATAAACAACATAATGCACTATCGTTCACAAGCACATTTAATAGTTGTTATCAAATAATCAATACAATAAAAAGAAAACACAATCAATAATTTTAATAATACCTAATTAATTGTATGACGGCGACAAAATAGCCCAATGTAAAATATATAAAACAGACTTCTGTCTACTTAAGTAAGTATAGTATCGAAATCTGTGTCTTGTGCTTTGTGTGAATTATGATATTATCATATTATGTCTAATCTTGTTTTGTGTAATATTGTTATCAATAGGCGTGTTTTTGTGGAGGCACGATTATGATGATAAAAGATTCCCTATAATCGTGCGTGGAGGTAACGAAAGGAAACTGTTGATTGTTTACTGATATCATTCTGTGACTGCATTTTATTATGAAGTGAGTTCATCGCTAAGACGTCGGATAGTGTTAAACTAGTTAGTGCTCGCGTGTTTGGTGGTTTTTTGATACAACTGTCAAACACAATAATGAATAATAAGGTGGACAAGCAAGGGCGTCCGCAGGAATTTGTCAAGGGGGGGGGGGCAAGGTATTTTAATTTTTAATTTTTGTTTTATTATCTGATTAGTGATAAAGTACCTAATTGTTTTTGGCGTGTTTTCCATCATATAAGTAGGGAACTCAAAAATTAAATTATTAATAATGTGTATAGTTAGAACGTTAGAAGCGAATCTTACAGTATTAGTTTTAATTAATTAATGTACAACTTTAAATTAACAAATAAATTTTTTTTATATACATAAAATGTAGTCACTGATTTGATAATTTTAGGTTACTTATAAAATTAAATGTGTCCAACTTCTATAAAATAAATAAATAACTACCAATTATCAAACCATTTGGAAATAACTTTTTTTTTTTTAAATTAAAAACAAACATAGCTTATACTGCTTAGAGCTATAATATAAATAAATAATATTATAGTAAATAACCTTGACTAAAATAAATTATTACACAAATATGTATTCATACATATTAAGCTATATAAATTATTATAACTTTTAAATTTTAATATTCTAAAATAAAATATTTATATTCTATAAGCTTATAACATAATTTATTAGGTATATAAAAAAAATAACATCAATCATCATACAGATCAAACTTAATATACATTATACAATATACATTATACATTCTATGTATTACCTCACACAACTTGGGGTTCTCAGAAAAAAATAATATACAAATATTAACAAATAATTATAAATAATAACTGTTCAATCATTGAATAATAGTTCCATTCTGCGTGGTAGTAAACCAAATTCATTTATAATTTCTTCAATCAATTCTAATTTATGACTTTTGACAAACTCTTTATGGACAGCCATCATGCATAAACCATTAAGTCGATTATCACCAATAGTATTTCTTGTCCAAGTTTTTACTCTACGCAATGTACTAAAAGTTCTTTCTACTGAACAAGTAGTAACTGGTAGAGTTAATGCAATAGTTAGAACAATATGAATTGCTGGATATAAATTTGCTTCATCTAATAGACTTATGAAACTTATGTTTTTCATTTCACTTTGACTTGTGTTTCTATTTTTCCACACATTATACCATAACATACACTCCTCAACCAAATTATCAATTGCATAAAAATTATTTATTTCTACTACCATGTTTTTAAATTCATCATGCTGCATTTTTTTCATATTATTCGGATGTAAATTTAATAAGGAATGAGCAGCACTGTTTTCATTAGAAAATCTTAGCTTTAATTGCATTATTAAGGAATCTACATATGGTTGGTATAAGGAAACTCTAAAATAATCTTCAGGAGTATTTATTGGATGATTTGAACGATGCTTTTGGTTAGAAACAATACGAGGAATTTTAATTTCTTCTCCAAGCTCATTTGCAACATTTTTAGCTTTTTTAAAAATCTCATGAAAATAATTATTCGCATCCAGGTTGTTAAAAACTTCAATGATTTCACTAATATATTTTCGAGCTTGAGATAAATCTAACTGTACTGCTTGTAATGCATTTGTTATAGGTTCTAGTTGAGCAGAAAATGTTGCCATTATAAATAAACACACTATAAAATTTGATTTAGTTGCTGCACTATGTAACTGAAATGCTTGACTTTTTGTTTGTGAATCAACGCCTGTTTCCATAGATATTATTTCTAATTGTTCTACTATCCCAATAAAATGTTCGCTAAAAATTCTTATAGTTTTATATTTTTCCGACCATCTAGTCTCACAAAATAAAGGAATGTTTTCTATTCTTTTTCTTCTTTTAGGACTTAACCTAAAAAATTTAATAATTGACCTGATACTTCCAGCACAGTTTTGAACATGCTGAAGTTTATTCAAATCATTTATTACTAAATTTAGTCTATGTGATGAACAATGTACAAATACAGCTTTAGGAAATTCATTTTTAATAATTGCTTGGACACCATTATGAATACCTGACATAGCACTACAGCCATCGTATCCTTGTCCTACTAAATTGTTTAAATTAAGACCACAGTTTCTCAAAAAATGTATTATAGATTTTGCTACAATTTTAGCATGCATATCTGTTAAAGCAACAAAACCTAAAAATTCTTCTTTGACTACAGGGTTTTCTGATTCAAATGAGATGTATCTTATGCCTATAGATAACTGTTCTGTACCAGAAATATCAGCAGTCTCATCAGCGAGAATAGAAAAAAATGATTGTGATTTCACTAAATAGTTTGTTATTCTGCTTAAGATTATTTTTCCTGTAATATCAATTATTTCATTTTGAACTCTAGCTGAAATATATTTGGAATTTTTGGGGCTTGATTCTAAATGACTTTGTAAAATTTTATCACCACTTTCAATTCTAAACTTAATTAAAGAATTGAAATTTCCATCATTTGATGTTTTTCCACGCAAAGCAATTTCTTGAGTGCCACAAAACAGTATACTTGAAATAATAGGCACAATTTTTTTCCTATTATTATCAATCAGTAACTTATGAGAACTGTTAATTTTATCAAAAACAGTAATAGCTTTGTTAGAAAAGACCTTAATGAAATTAACAGCATTTTCTGTGCATTGTAAGTGTGTCTTAGAAACTTTATGTTCGCATGCTTTTTTGTGAAAATCTTTATACTTAATACATGGTTTTTTTACAAACTGAATTTGTTTATAAGAATTACCATGACAACTAGATGAATGAAATAGAACACAGAATACACAAAATGGACCTTTCATTTTTTGAGAATAAGATAACCATGGTGAATATGTACTTAACCATTCATGCCGAAAACTCCGAGCAACTGACGTACTATCTTCCTTGAAACTATACTTAATTCCTGGTGTCCAGATATTGGTTAATAGTTCATGTTTGGTTTTTTCATCAATAACTATGGTACACGGTAGATTAACAAAGTTTCCAATATCTAGCCTACTAAAACTATCCTTAACTAAATTACTAGTATTCAATAAATTTGAATTAAACGACATTAATGAAAATGATGTCTTTGGTTTCGATGGCAATTCTGTAATTGGTTGTTTCTCCAAAGAACTATTAAAAATATTATTACTTGATTCATCACTTGGTTCACCATCTTCATTATATATCTTACAGATTTGATTTTGTTCTTCATCTTGTTTAGAATTATTATTACTCTTTTTTTTAATATTAAAAATACTAAACATTATCAATTATCAAACTACACACTAAGACACAAGTATACTCATAAATAACATTAAGTAATAAAAGATCAACTGAGTAGATGTTAATATGCTGAGCGACACAATATTTATGATGGGTATATCGTATATGACGTATATGGTATATTATAAGAAGTTTCCACGCTAAAACTGAGCCGCGACGTCGACGGTCAACTCCATTTGTCGAAATAATATTATATATCTATATTATTATTAAAAATAGCACCGCTGAGTTCTTCGACATCGGCGTCGCCGTCGCCGTCGCCGTCGTCGTCAATCGTCATTCGGGAAAAAATAATTAATACACACTAAAAATAGCTACGCAAAATCCAAATATACCAACATTGATTAATGATTATAAATAGTATTAAATACGAGTAGTATTTTAGTATTTATAATCAATAAATAATGATACCAATGAAATCACGAGATCCTACTAAACATAGTAAATAATAAATATTCACATATTATAAAAGTCGAAACCGTGCATCGAAAACCGATGATATAATAGTTAATAGTTTAATACACCCATAAAAATCCACATAACATTTGTCGACTATGTGTTGACCGTGGCTCTCAACGTTTCAAAAAATGTTTTTAATTTAAATAATATTTATTTTATGATATTTTATACTACATAATGGTTATGATAAATTGGCCCATGAAAAAGCCAAGGGGGGGCAGATGCCCCTACTTGCCCCCCCCCCTGCGGACGCCCTTGTGGACAAGTAAGTATCGCTTTGATGTACAATTGTTATGTCGAGTAGGTATGGCATTGTAATGGATGAGTTAGATAATATGAATTTAATGATAAGTCATTGCATACAAAATAAACGATTCTGAGTGGGGACAATGTCGTTGTGTACCTACTTGAATAAATAATCAAATTTAATAATTAAAAACTGCTGAATATCAATATATCATATTTTGTAAAAATAATCGTTTATATTTTTTATTTAGGTATTTTAAAATAGGTACCTATAACCTATACTGTATTTTTAAATATTTAAAAACAAGTAGTTGCCTAGTGGATTTTTTTTATTGATTACTGGTTGCGAGTAAGCCACTGTATTCGTTTACATAGAGCTTAATGCAAACCTGGTAATTTCAGTTACCAAAAACTCCTATGTGATGGCTTATCTGTATATTATAAAATCAATGATAAGACTAAGAAACTAGCGAGAAAGCGACTCCCCTTAGAATTCAGACTGGTAACACAATCATATAAATGTACTAATTAATACAAATTCAACAATTATCCCTGTAACATATTTATCTAAATTATTTTTGAAAAATATTTGTGAACACTAGTTAAAATACTTACAATGATTTCATAAATCATACTATTTTTATGATACATTTTAAATGTTTATGTATGTCGAATGAAAAAAAATACTTACAAAAAATGTATTTTATTTTTAAATTTACTTCAATCAGCCAATAACATACTATAATAATGAGCACTTAATTACAAAGCAACTATTCTTGTATATTGAAACATTTCATTAGAAAAATGTAATATTTTTTTTCAAATTTATTAAAATCCAAAAGAAATCAACAACATTCAAAAAATATTATACCAGTATAAAATAAAATAAATACAAAATCTAAGAAGATTAACCTTATCTCTATATGAATAAATATTGTACATAATATTATAATTCAAAATTCAAAATTCAAAAAAAAAAATTGTTTTTATTAGACGACAATCATTTTTGTCACACATTTAATTCTGACGTTACAGAGTGGACATTTATTGGATGTACTCCATAAGCGTTTTGCACAAGAATAACAAGTTATAATGTGTCCAATTTTCCCATGGTTTATAATTCCATTTCTTGTGTTAAAAAAACAAATAATGCATAAATTATCTTTATTTTTTACATCATCATTATTTGATTCAATTTCTTTTAAATCTGATTTCTGGGAATTCCTCTCTTTAATTAAACTTCCGACTTTTTTATTTAAAAAAATATTCAAATTCGTAATCCTTTTTGGCTCTGGTTTTTTTCCAAAAAATTCCATACGATGCTAGAAAAAAAAACATTTGTTAAACAATTAAAATAACATCATAAATCATTGTATATTTTTATTTTATGTAGCTTTTCTGTTTCCTTATTAAAATAAGAACTCTTAATTTGATTTATGTATCTACATACAAATTGGTATGATAGCCTAAGTCAGTGTAAAGTAAATTACTTTTAAAAAGTAATAAAATTACCTACATTACTCATTAAAGTAATTTTTTTACAAGATTTTTTATTTAAATAAAATTTGCGTTAACTATTTTTGTCAAGTTACATTGTTACATTGTGTTTTTGAAAAATTATGATTTGTATTATGTGATAGGAATGGTGCGATCTTA